TGCAAAATGGTAAGACAGTCCAGAAGGGTGTATATGAAAGAGGAGCAATCCAAATAGAACATGCTGTATTCTGGTTTATGAGCTCTACCAATGTTTGTTGGTTTTTGTTGTTGTTCTTATTTTAGCAGCTGGAGAAAATACAAATTTCCTAACCAAACATATATCAAAACTGGTATATATCAATGTATTTTGTTGTTGCTGTTAGAATTGAGCCTTTAGTTTACTTTTAGCACCATTTTGGTCAGTCAAAAAATAGTCCTCTATCTAGCCCTTGCAAAGTTATTCTTATACTATTAGCCAATAATACTTCACCCTACAGATCGGCCCTGATCACCAGCCAAGCCCAGAGACCTGACCTGTGCATGAATTTCATGCACCAGGCCTCTAGTAGTGAAATATAATTGAGATTACTTTATCTAAAATGCATTGATTTATCAAATACATAAGAAGATCCTGCTATTACAAGTCACCGCTGAAGGACAGAGTTGACCATGGAGCTAATAATCTAGTGAAGGAACTCTAAATAAGTACAACAAAGAAAACATCAGATAAATCATTTCCAAGTCAACATTTTCTTTATTCCTTGAGTTTAGATATTATAAAACAGCATCAAATGTACTGGTTTTCCTAAGTTTTGTCATTCTTGTCTGGGTCAAAAATAAACCTGTTTTCTTATCTAACATATTCTTTATCAATTGGTCACTACACATGTTGTCTCAATTAAACAACTGTTATATAATTTAGCTTAAATGAAGATAGAGAAAGAAGTGAAGGAGGAAGAAGAGGAGAAATGTATAATCAAGGATAAAATACCACTGAGCAGCTTTACTATTATTAGTTCAATTAATAAATTACTATGATATAAGTAGCTGAGTTCTTTGTAGACTCACACTTACATTTAATGTCTGCTTGGTTTCAGAGAGTTGAACTACAAAGTAATTCTTACTTTATGAATAGTATTTTCACTAATACAGAGGATTCACCTTTTCTGGGTGGAGTGTTTAACATAATACAATATCTGCAACATCACTGACAAGCCCTTTTCCCACCGGTTTTCCAGGAGCAATTTGAGGTTCAATCAAATGTAACTCCTAGTAAGCCAACTATCTATTACAAAGGTAATAACAAGTAAATATTCCCCTAATTAATAAAATAACTTGTCCATGTTATTTTTATATTGGTCATATTTCTAAACCAGAATAAAAATAAACAAATAGCTAAAAGAAATATAATCCAACCCAACAAAATAGTATATCTCCTACTTATTTTTCAACATCTGACTTTTAACAATGTGTAGGTCCTAAAAATAACATAAATTTTACTAATAGGTTGCAAACTTTATACTCAAAATGCAAAATGAAAAATTCAGGTAAAAACTCCCAAAGAGGAAAAACATAAGTACTTTCATTAACTATGTATTTCTACTCCTTGAAGGCCAGATATATAGATGTCTGAGAATGCAAAATTAGTTTCCCAGAACAGAAATGAGTCTTCAACATCCTGTAGTAAAAAGTAAACACAAATTATTTGAACTACATCAGGAGAAGAGAAAGGATATATAAAAATGAGAGAAACAGAGGAAGCAAAAATAATAATAGCATATTGCCTGCTTAGTTAGTGGTGTGAAATAGTTAACGTACATTAGATTCTCACACTGAATCCCTAAGGTCAGTATTCCTCTCATTCAACATGAGAAAACCGAAGCTCAGAGAGGATTATCACAACAGTAAACAAAAGAGCCAGGGCTTGAACTTGGGCATCTCTTACTCTAAAAACAATGCTCTTAACCACTACCTACGCTATTTAAGCAAGCAAAAAGAAGTATAAACTACTCACTCTTTTAATATTTTGTGGCTTTTTATTTTGAAGTAATTTCAAGCACACCTAGGATTTACGGTGTTAGAAGGAGATTTGATTTGGGGTGATGAACACACAATACAATACACAAAAGATATATTATAGAATAAATTGTACACTTGAAACCCACATAATTTTATTAACCAATGTCACCCAAATTAATTCAATTTTTTTTAAAAAAAAAAAGAAAAAAATGACTTTCCCAGAAAAAAAAAGAATAGGACAAGAGAGAAAGAGAATTAAACAAATGTGATAAAATATTAACAATTTGGGAATCCTGGGAAGATATATCAAACAAAGTTCCTTGTGCTCTTCTTGCAACTTTTAGGTTTGAAATTATTTCAAATTTAAACGTTACAGAATTTAACAGAGTGTGTATTTTTTACACACATTGTTTGTCCTTAATCAGAATTATTAGAAAGTAAGTTTGAAGGTATTTGGTTGTGATACTTTTATCCTCATTATCTAAAATTGAGGAACAGGCTAATTGAACAAGAAGCTGAAGCAAATTCTCTTCATTTTATCCCAATGCTGTTATCTTTCTTTCTTTTTTTGTTTGTTTGTTTGTTTTTCATTCATTCTCACTGGAGGATATTCTTCCATTGATTTTTAAGGAGAGTGGAAGAGAGAGGGAAAGACAGTGAGAAACACTGATGTGAGAGAAGCACATGGACTGGTTGCCTCCTGCATGAGCCCCGAACAGGGCCTGGGCCAGGGAGGAACCTGCAACCAGAATCCAGTCAAACTGGCGAGGGCCTCATGCTGTTATTTTGATTATCTAATTCCTAAAAGATCCTGTTGCTTTCTGATTTCATTGCTAATTCTGTTAGAGTCCGATTAGAATTATCTGTCCACTGCTATGTGGTTGATTTGTACATCAGATTTACACAAACTACACTATGGGCTAGTCCATGAATTTGGAGTAATCGGGTACAAAAGATTAATGTTTCTTAGTAACACCTTAGTAACACATTCAAAGGCTTGAATCAAGTCTGTTCACTGAAATATTATATACCTAGTGTTTGATGTGTTGGATAACCTTAAACTACTTCAATGTGTATTTCCTGAAAAGAACAAAACATTCTCTATTATAACCACAGTATAGTTGGAAATAACAGAGGGCTAATATCAATATAATACTATTATCATATCTACAGGCCTTATTCAAATTTCAGCAATTGTCTTCCTAATGTCCAGGAACAGAGCCAAGAGTTATTGTAATCCAGGATCCTATAATCCAGGATCACATATTTCATTTAGCCGCCATATCTCTTTAATCTCCTTTGATCTGAAACAGTTGTTCATTCTCTGTCTTTCACAACCTCCTCAGGACAAGCCAGGTACTTTGTAGATGTCTCTCAATTTCGGTTTTGTTTGATATTTTCTCATGAGTAAATGTATACTATGCATTTTTGGTTAGAATTCCACAAGCGTGATGCTGGATCTTTCTCAGCATCAAACACACACGAGGTCAGTTAATCTCATTCCTGATGATGTTAACTAATGACTCTAATAGGAAGTTTTCACAGATTTCTTAACTTCTTACTTTTCTCTTTGTAACACGTAAATTGTGGGGAGGTACTCTGAGACTGTAGATATCCTGCTTTTCATTAAACTGTCACACAATAGTTTTAGCATCCACTTAAAATTCTCACCTGAATGAAATGTTACCATGATAGTTCTTAAAACATACTAGTTTAAGGCAGAAAGGAAGGAAGAGAGAGAGAGAGAGAGAGAGAGAAAGGGAGGAAGGAAGAAAAAAGGAAGAAAGAAAGAAAGACCCAGGCCATGATTGGTTACTCATGTATAAAGGTTGGTTTTTAAAACACTTGAAGAAAAAAAGATGACGGGAAGAGCTTTATGTGTAATTAAAGCTGTGCTTCCTGCCAAGAACACTGCAATACTCAGAGGTCTGGCAGCATGTTCCTTTTAGTTCTTACAGAAGTACAGACACTAAATACAGAATTTATTTTTAGAAAAGAATATTTACTAATGTTACTTTATTCTCTTTTTTGAGTGATTGTATATATTTTTTAATTTCTATTGAATTTATTGGGGTGGCATTGATTAATAAAATTATATAGGTTTCAAGTGTACAATTCTATATTACATCATCTCTATATTGTATTGTGTGTTCACCATCAAAAGTTAAGTCTTTTTTCATCACCATTTATCCTCCCTTTACCATCTTCTTCCTGCCCCCACCTCCCTTTCCCTCTGGTAATCACAATACAGTTGTTTGGGTCTACATTTTTTTTCTCTTAATCCCTTTACCTTTTGCACACAGCTCCTCAACTCTGACTTCCGTCAGTCTGTTCTCTGTATGTATGAGTCTGTTTCTATTTTGTTTGTTTATTTTGTTGATTATGTTTCACATCTAAGTGAAATCATATGGCACTTGTCTTTTTCTGACTGGCTTATTTCACTTAGCTTAATACTCTCCAGGTCCATCCATACTGTCACAAAAGGTAAAATTTCCTTCTTTTTATGACTGAATAGTATTCCATTGTATAAATATCTCATAACTATTTTATCCACTCATCTACTGATGGGCACGTGGGCTGCTTCAATCTTGGCTATTATAAATAATGTTGCATATGTAAATCTCATGAGGATGCCACACAAAGTAGATAACAGAATGCTAACCTGCAGCACTGCAAAAAATAATCCTACTGACTAGAGTTCAACATTTGTGTATAATTCTTTTGGTCATTATTCTAAAGTTAAGTTTTCAAAATAGTGTATTCAAAAGTTACTTGGGCTCATTGCCCACCCCCCTCCTTCAATGTAGTTGTATTTTTCATTTGAAATATTTAGTTTCCCTTGCTTCTTTTTGTATTCCATTTTAAAGGCCCCTCATTCTTACTGGCTATACACTACTTTGTGGGTTTAGTTTGTGTAAAATGTTATCATCATCACAAAAGTCAAACTGTACAAAAATTACACTTAGAAAGAAGTCACTTTCTCATCCCCAATCCTTTATTTCTATTCATTCCTAGTAGATAGCCAATCTTATTGGTTTCTTGGCTTTTCCTTTCTGTGTTTCTATTCGGCAAAACTAAGCACTCATGTAATTTCTTTCTCTCAACCATTCAACACATCCTATAAATTATTACTATTCTTACTTCACAGAATAGTCATTCTCTGGGATAGCCTTGACCCACCACCTCAGTGCAAAAGTCTAATTTCTGAAGACTGCAATAAGTTTTGGTAAGTTTCCCCAAGCAAAGGGTAGGTAGTCAATAAACTGTTGAATAAAAGTTCATGAAAGAAAAGTGAAATGAGCAAAATAATGGAACAAACAAGGACTAAAAAAGATACAATAGAGCAGAGGTCATCAACAGTGCTAAAGATGGTATCCAAACTTTTCCAGGATTTCCCCCAAAACCAACCAAACAAACAAAAATAAGGATCGGCAGAAACTTTAATATGAGACATTTTGAGGCACCAAAAAAAGAGAAGAAAGTAGTTGTTTGAACTTTAGAGGGAAAATGTACCATGCCAAATGTTGTTGAGAAGGATAGTTATTATAGTTAAATCAAGAAATTTTTTTTTTCTTTTCAGAAATGGCAAGAATAGATCAGTCCATGCTGAAAAGAGAAGTATTTTTTTTTCTCAAACATACACTAAGTAAACGAAAATTGCATTTACCACAGGACTTGAAGCTCTTTTTTCAGTTTATTTGCCTGTTTTTGCCTTACTATTTATGAATAGGCTTGTTAATTCTCTTACGTCAATCCTATTACCTATTCAGAGCTATTTCTGCAAGGGTCATCAATATCCAGGGATCTTAAATCTGAGCTTAAACCTGTCCAAGGTCAAGAGGAGTTCTGTCCCCAGGGATTCCTATCCACTGAACATAATCAAGGACCCCAGGCACAGAGAACCAAACTGTAAGTCACAGATAGTCTTCTTGATAATTTCTAAAAATTTACCTTCAGGGAAAGAATAAATGATTTTACTGTTTGTGTATTATTGTGTGTTCTTTTAACATATTGCAAGTAACATTAAGCAATAATTTACTGTAAAGACAATTAAATAATGTGTTTCTTTGTACCAGACATCTTCACTAATGTAAATTCAGGATAAACTCGCAATTTTCAGTCTGATAATTCATGAAAGTTGAAATAAAACCACATATAGAGAAGTAGCTTTAAAATTTTAAATTCTTCATTCCTCCCTTTGAGTGAAAGGAGAACTGAAGGAAAGAAGTGATGATTTCTTGCACTTTATATTTGAAGGTTTGATTCCTGGGTTGTAAGAGGGAAAATTACATTCAACACTAAAACACTCAGATCTCTGAACCAAATACTAAATGAGTTGTATGTTCTCGGGCTTTTTCCTTAATATTACATTTTTGTTGTTGTTTTGTTTTGTTTTAACCTTTAAAGTGGGCATAATAATACAGGTATTTGCTTCAGAAGGTTACTTCAAGATTTAATGAAACATGTATATAAGCATAACCAATGGACATAAGACACTGGGAGATAGGGGAAGCCGGAGGAATGTCAAGAATGGGGGGAAAGGAGACATATATAATACTCTTTGTAATACTTTAAGCAACAAAACAAAATTAAAAAAAATAAAGAGTACAAATAGAACAGGATCAAGAATAAATCTCTGTGGCAAGGGGACTAGATTAAAAAAAAAAAAGATTTAATGAAACAGAAATGATGTTTTTAAACGAAAAGAGCACAGGAAGTTTGTTGATATTTGTTACATTAGGTGAAATATTTCTTTCAGTTGGTTTCATTTTGCTGCTATAATGCATGCATGGAGGTGATTATTTTTTAATATATTTTTTATTGATTTCAGAGAGAGGAAGAAAGAGGGAGAGAGAGCTAGAAACATCCATGATGAGAGAGAATCATGGATCGGTTGCCTCCTGCCTCCTATATGCCCCACACTGGGAATCAAACCCACATCCCGGGCTTGTGCCCTTGACCAGAATTGAACCCGGGACCCTTCAGTCCGCAGGCCGACCCTCTATCCACTGATCCAAACTGGCTAGGATGCGGTGATTATTAATACAATAAATTTTACAGTTTCCATCATGAAAATGAAGTAATATTTTCTCATTGTTTTTATTAACTGCAAAAACAGCTTTAACGATAGTATCCATTTTAAAAACATATTTTTTACTACTATACATGCTACTTAGAGTCACCTAACATTAAAAGCCAGCAAATTTTTTAGAGATTATCTAACTCATTATGGTGATTCTTTGCCTAACTATTATGTTTATAAACTGGATTTGGTTTTACATAAGTTGTCAAAATATATATGAACCATTCACAATAATGTCTATAATGGAATTCAAACCATATTGCTGCGAAACAGTGTATTCTGGAATTACTATTTTATTTATTACTAATTATTGTATTATTTTCCACCCGAACAACTGTAAACCTACTTTTGCCCCACCCTGTATGTTCAGCATTATGCTTTGCTGTCCCTAGGAAGCATTTGTAACGCATGGCTCCTGCCACAAGAAGCTTAGGTCCTCCTCAGGGGAGAAGTATGGCTTGGGTAAACTCATTAGAGCTGCATTTATGATTTGAGAGCTAATGGAGATCTCCACATGCCTAGTGATGATTCCCCTGATCAGACATGGTGCTGCTGTCAGACCTATTCGATGTAAAATTCCCACTCCTAATCATTTTTTAATAAGAAAGAAATGGCTGAGCTGTTTTCTATAGGAGTCCAATGTGACATTGGGAGGACAGTCCTGGCAGGGGTTAAAACAGCTGACACTAATATGTCAGCGTTGGTGAGAACATTGGCCTGGCTTAGTTGATAGGATTAGCTCACAGTCACCTTGGAAAAGGCAGGAGAGCAGAGCCCTCTGGAGATGCATTATTAGAGACAGAGAAAGGTAGACATGGAGCCCTGCAAAGGTGGACACAGAGCGTGTGATACCTTACGGAGCACAGATCAAGACAGAATCTAGGTTTCTATCAAAGTGCAGGTGATGCGGGATTTCTACAGATTTTCCCACCTGGCAGTCTTGCTTGGTTTCAGGTAGGCCTTAAAGATAACTTGCTAAATTCCACTCTAGTTGAGTTAAAAAATTATTTTAATCAAGCCCTTCAGTACTGGATTCCCAGTCAAGTTATTTCTATTCATGGCTAGTCATGTTCAGATACAATAATGTCATGTTCAGTACAGCGCTTTCTCTGAAACAGCTGCTTATCTGTTTCCGAAAGGAAACACATGAATTCATGTAAAAGGGAAAAGGAAGAGTATTTGTTTTAAATTGCACAACAAAAAAAAATTATTTTGAAAACTTCACATTAGAGCTATTTCAATATGTTTTCTTTAGTTTTTATGTCTGTAGAAAGAAGCCATGCATGTCTTAGGTAGAGGATAATTTTAACGTTTGGTTGTTTAATCTTTTTACTCTGTACTTAGGGAAACTAGTATTAGTATACCATCTAAAACTTTTCATTACAATTTTTATATATATTTTATTGATCTCAGAGAGGAGGGGAGAGGGAGAGAGAGATAGAAACATCATGATAAGAATCATTGATAGGCTGCCTCCTGCACGCCCCACACTGGAGATTGAACCCGCAACTCGGGCATGTGCCCTGACTGAGAATTGAATCAAGACCTCCTCGTTCGCCAAAACCGGTTTGGCTCAGTGGATAGAGCGTCGGCCTGCGGACTGAAAGGTCCCAGGTTCGATTCCGGTCAAGGGCATGTACTTGGGTTGCGGGCGCATCCCCAGTGGGAGATGTGCAAGAGGCAGCTGATCAATGTTTCTAACTCTCTATCTCTCTCCCTTCCTCTCTGTAAAAAAATCAATAAAATATATTTAAAAAAAAAAAAAAAAAAAGACCTCCTGGTTCATATGTTGACACTCAATCACTGAGCCACGCTGGCAGGGCATAATTACAATGTTTTTTAAAAAAGGAATGAAGATACTTTTATCTAAACCTCAGCCTACTAAATGGAACAGAATACTTCTATTGAGCCTTCTTTCCCCTGGCATCCATGCCTTTTATTTCTCCACAGAAAATAATAGTTCTTGAAACTATTACTAGGACATCAGAACAACCCAGACACTAGCCAAGGAAATAACTGGCATTTGTATTACCTGACATGCAGGGGCTTCTTGGCCCATATTTTTGTAGGCTCTTCTGCAGCATCCAAATGTGGGTGCGGGAGCAAGGAAAGAACTAGAAAAGAATCCAAAAATCAACTAGTTAATCCTAGGTGAGCCTCCTTTCCCCAATAATAATCCTTAAAGGATCAAAGGGGACCCTGAGAAATACAGAGTCACCAAAGCTTGACTAGTAGAAATTGAGGAAAAGGCAGTCTGTGTCAGAACCCAGAACACAGACATAGTGGCCCTCATCTACGTAATTTAGGTAATTCTTTACAGAAGTCAAAGCCAAGTGCTTTAGAATGAGTTGTAGTCCTAAGAATTCAGATGTTGATTATCTGTCCTCAAATGTAACAATCTGAAAATATTAAATGGAAAAGTCCAGAAATAAACACTCACATAACTGTTATTACAGTATACTGTTATAATTATTCTATTATCAGCTATTTTTGTTGATCTCTCACTATGCCTAATTTATACTTTATCATAGTTATGTATGTATAGGGAAAAGCATTATAGATGCTTGGTGCCATCAGCAGGTGCAAGCAGCAGCTGCCAGTCCTGATCGCCCCTGAGGGCTTCTCCCCCTCTACCTGCTCCTGAGGGGCCATCGGGGTAGCAGTTGCCGCTCGCACCTGCTGCTGGCGCTGGCCCTAATCACTCCGTGCTGTCAGCGGGTGAGGGAAAGGGCGGGCGCTGTCAGCACATGGGAGTGGCGGTGGCAGGAGTGGGTCTACCAGCAGACAGGGGACCAGGGGCTGCAGCAGGAGGTGCTGAGCAGGGGTACGGAGGATGGACCGAGACCTATCCCTGCGCCCACCATAGCCTCATGGCCCACAGTTCCTTTCAAGGTGCACGAATTCATGCACTGGGCCCCTAGTATATTAATATAATCAAGGAATCATGTTTTCCCCAAGTAACTGAATTATCTTTTCAGTGAAGGGATTTCTTTGAAATTGTCAAGAGTCTTTCTGTAAAATGAAATTACTTTTTTTTTCTCCACTAGATTGCCAACTAGGATGGCAGGAAGCAAGCTAGGCTTATGTCTCTTCAACATTTGAAATAAATTTATTTTTATATTTTAAAAAACTTATGTATATTCATTGCAAATAGTAACTACCTCAGATTAACTATCTAATAGTGAAATAAAAGACATTGGCTTGAGTCTCTACTCTTCTGGAGACTTAACAGCTATTGAAGTTGTCAAATAAGCTTCCATTACTTTGCTCTGTAGTGTTCTTTTGAAGCAAAACAATAATATTCATTTTTCTTAGATGCAAAATGCCGGGAGCCGGTCCATCCTTGCTGTTTCAAGGGACTTGGCATATATGGCATACTGTTCTTAATATGTTTGCTCACCTTCTTGGCACTATGTGTTTTAACCAAGGTCACCTCTCTGAGAAAGGTTGTTTCCCCAGGTAGGGATTTTCCCCTGAAGTTAGGGAGGGAGTAAAACCTCTTAACTAAGTGCCAGGCGGGTAATTAATCACTTTAACTACGAACAATCATGCTTAAGCTACATAATCTTTACTCCCTGGAATGGAGATAAGAAACGCCCTAACCTTTGGAATAGAGATTGATAGGATTGGAATCAAATGGTATAAATACAGGTGTAACAAGACAACAGGACACAGAACTTAGATGAAGATCCTAGAGACAGAACTTAGAAGACAGAACCCACCCAGAACCTAGACACGGAACCTAGAGACACAGAACCTAGACACAGAACCTACTCAGAACCTAGAGACAGAAGAGCTTCACTGGAGAGAACATGGCAAAAGATCCTGGACAGAAACTGGAGACAGAACCTAGAGACAGAACATGGCAAAAGATCCTGGACAGAAACTGTGTGACAGAACC